CCCCCCCTGAGGCAGCCGCCCGCCTTACCTCCATCTGCAGCTCTGCTTCCCCCCTTCTTCCCTCCCCCCCACCTGTTTTGTGAGAGGAATTTTGCTTTTAAAGGCTTAAAACGAGGAAATTTGGTATTTTCCAGTAGCAGCAGGCTAGCTAAAGTCATGAATGAACCGCTGAAGTTCCGTTGGCTGCTCGGTGCCAACCTCAGCCCTGACAGCCCTGGGCGCGCTTCTGCTTTCCCTACAATCTGTTAGATTTTAAAAAAAAAACCTAAAGGCCACACGGTGTGAGGACGGGCAGCCCTTTTCCCTGTCACCCTCCTCTACCTCAGCGGAGCCCCCCCACTGCACTGCAGAGGAGACACATGGCTGCGCTGGAGTTCACTAAGTTGTGAGTTGGGTTTAGGTTTAAGTGTTTTTGTCGTTAGGACACTGCACGAGCCAGAATGTTTGCTGTTCGTTTAAACAGTTGGAACAGAAGATGAGCAAACAGCGTGGCCTTATATGTAATGTTTACTCATAGGGATTTCCTTAATATTCTTAGACCTGCAAGTGGAGGAATTAATATAACAAGGTACATCCATAACAAGTTGTTGGTTGTTACGTTGATTTTCGTGGCAGGGAGGGAGGTATTGAAATTTTCATATTGCAGAGATCCATCAAGCTTGTGTTGCTTTGGGTCTGTGGATTGCGTAAAAGAATGCCCGTTTCTCCCTGTAAATAGGTGCAGTGTGACCTAGCTATCTGCAGCACAAACACGGGGCGGGGAATTCCCTCTTACCCTAAGAGAACTGAGGTTGGATTTGATACTGTGTCCCTCATGTAAATCTAAATCAGGTGCCAGTGGGTTGTTGCTCTGCTGCCACCACAGTGTGCTTGCTTGTGTTGGTGGCATTTCTTTCAGTCCTGAGCCCAAATAGCATGTGGCCTGGCTGAAGGAGGGATGTAACACAAGCAAAACAATCAGAATACCACATACCCATCTTATTAGTTATCTGGTTTTAAGCACTGAACTGGAAAGAGTGTTGCACACTTACTTGCTTTGTCTGCTGTGATGCTTTTTGTGTATTAGTGATGTTCCTTAAAGTTCCTCCTTGGCTCCAGCATCTTTTGGGGATGGGCAGGAGCATCTCCAAGAACCCTGTCAACTAGTGATGTCTACATCAAAAGAAAGCAATACTTGTAAGTGATCTGGAAACCATGAGCTAGCATACGTATCCTTCTAACTACCTGAACTGAATTCCCATCCACCTTATTTTCCCTTTTTCCCATTCCTCCCAGCTTTCTTCCCGTAACAAGTATACCTGCCTGAAGAGTAGAAGGCACCTTTTATCAGTTCATGATGTATTTTTAAATCTCCTTATTTTAACAAAAAGTTAATGGATCTTATCAATAAAATGCAAATAAACCCTAGACACGGTAGTATGTAATGCTAATCTCTTTATTAAATGGGAAATATTTTGCTACCTAAAGAGTTTCTGGTTAGTATGTATCAGCTCTGCAATTGTGTCACTTTTTGATCACACAGATGCTGCTGCTTTTGAAATCAGTTGGCTTCAGAAGCAGCCTGCTCTAGTTACTGAAGTGGGATACGTCATCAAGTAAAACTTGTGTTTGTTTTCTGAACCTGTCTGGAACATTGCTGATAAAAATTTCTGTCCTGACAAGTCAGACACTCTATTAAAAGGAATACCGGTTATTTTTAAAAAGCCATTGTTTTCCTTGGATTTTTGTTTCAGATGCCTTCTGTTCCTCATCTGACACTGGCCTTCTTGGATACTTTTGGTGTGTAGAGAAGGGATAATTCTCTAATTCCAGGTTCATCTTCTGGTCCAGCTTTTCATGTACAGTAAAACTCCCAAGTTAGTAGGTTCAAACTATGTATTAGTTTGTTGCATGAGAGTTTTTATTCTGATGACCTTGTCAGTGAGCCGCTGACCCTAACAGAGTTCTACTGCAGTATCCAACAGTACTAAATATAAAGTCCAAGAATCTTCTGAGGGTTTTTAGCAGGATCTTGCTTTTTCCACTGGCTGTTTTGCTAACCCTTTTACCCCTGTGCATGGTAAGAGTGATCATGTAAAGTGTATTTGTTTTATTTTACTCACAGAGAGAATGTATGTGAAAGCGGTTAGCAAAATTTATGCTCATCTTATTCAATGCTCTTTCACTCTAGAAGATTCTTACTTTGAAAAAATTAGCTATCGGTCATATTTATTGTTTTCAAAAAGCTTTTGAATTTTAGCAGAGAAATTACTGTTTAGCAGAGAAATGCCTTTTCTTTGCTTCTGAAATTCCATTTTAATGAGTTATGAACTCATTGTTTGCTGATTCTTTCATAGTCAGTGTGACTCTGGTTGCTGTATCCAAATATCTCAACATAAACATTTTTAGTGAAGACTGAGTCATATGCCTCCCAAAGCAACAGCAATAACTTTCAAAACCAGAGCAGTAAACAAACTCTAACTTGGTTCTAAGTCTTTATTTATCAGATATAATTTTTCCTTATTGTTAAGTCCATGTGGATGGATACTAATGAGGTAACTAAGGACATGTTTTTGCCCTTAGTATGCAGCTTGTGATTCCTACTTAAGTTTACAGACCTCCTGGTTTTGGATACAAGTTAACTTTTGTTATTCCATTATATTTTCCATAGGAGTGTCCCAGGGACCCACAATCCAGGTACTAATGAAAAGCACATTGTCAACAATTGGGGAAGGCAGGGAAGAGCCTGGTGCCCTCAGTTGTGATAAGATGACATTTGATTATTGTCTGGTGCTACTCCATCTTCTGCATATTTAAAATAGCAGATTCCATGTATTTTAAATAGCAAATGAGCTCAGCCTTCCTCTAGTTATCAAAAGCTTAGTTTTCCAAAACAGTATCCGTGGGTAAGGATGCTCTTTGTTAGTTCTCTTGGCTTCATAGGACAAGGTCCTAGACTAGGAAGAGGAATGTTAAGTGTTCAAGGAGATTTCAGCGCAGGGCTCTTGCTGAATGTCTTCTTTATTCTTTAATACTGGACAAAGCTTAGATGATTCCTCAGAAAGAATACAATGTAGGATCTGATTTTGTCTGTTCAAGGTAGGTTAAATGTAGCCTGGATTTGGTGTGGGGAAAGGAACAGTGCTGGAAGGAGGTTCAGAGTCTGTTGTAGGAGAGTTGACTAAACAAGTTTAGCTTGTGTAGTCTAGTAAGACTGCTTAATATCTATAAATGCAGTAATGGGGTAAACAAAAATGAAGCACAATTTAAGTCAAAAGAAAAAAAGATAAAGCACCTGTAAATATGTCTGTGGTAGATAAGAGAAAGAGTCCTCTAAATCTTCCTGTTTCAGTTCTGGGGACAGGAAACCTCACTTCCTTGTGCTTTGTAAACTAACAGGAATAATTTTATAACATCATACATGTTGCAGGTGGGGTTTGCAATTGATGATTCAGGGTGTTCATTTCGGTCTTTAATGTGAGGGATTTAGGAATGCATTGTCTTATAGCTCCCTCTGAGGAGTTGCATTCTCCCCACTCTACAAATGGGGGGAAATGAGATAATGGGACTTGTCTAATGCTATACATTAAATCAGGGAGAGACAGAACTAGAAAGGGAGGTTATCCTGCTTCCAGTCCAGTGTTGTTGCCTGCAATAAAGAGTGCCTTGCTTCTGGAGATATTTGTCATCCATTGAGAAAATTGCAACCAAAGCATATGGGTGACTTAACTGAATTTGTAAATGAGCTTTCACTCAGGAGCCAGAGAACTAGCCCAAAAATAGTTTAAAGGACACGTGCTGCAATTTATTTAACGTAGTGATTTTTAAATATACTGAATTTTAGAGGACTTCACAGACCAAATCATCTACGTCATTAGCCTGTTGTAGAAAGTCTAATGAAGTTACTTATCTCTTAATCATGACTTTAGGTCTTAACTTCTTTACATTAAATATTGTAATAACACTTCAGTAATTTTACAAAGTTGCTTGAAGATCTATAGAACTATATAACATTCTGCTTTAACATTCCTTAAAAAAAAAAAACTTTTTTTTTTTAAATTTTGTTCTTGAATTCCTCCCCAGCCCTGTCTAATAGGAGTCTAAAGTTTCTGAACTATGTGATAAATAATCATGCAAAAGTCTGTAGAACTGGTAGAGACACTTCAGTAAAACTGTGCTAAAGGCCACCAGTGATGCTGACTAAACATAGTGTTATAATGTAGCATAGTCCTGGTTTTTATATATGTAGTATAGTTAAAACCTCTTCTATTCCTTTAGCCATTTGCCAATGTCAGTGTAAAAGAGACACATTTCTATAACTTAGGTTTCCTGGATGTGTTACAACAGAATGGAATGTTCTGGCAGCTGATAAGTTTTGGGTTTTAAATATGTTTGATGACGTTATCAGGCTTCAGATTTAATGTAATAAAATATATTGTGGTCTTGTATTCTTAATAGATTTAAATCAGAAAGCATTAATTGATGTTATTCTTTGTGGAAATTGGTGGTGCGGTAGGAGTTCTCATGAGTCTACGTGACCAGTGAGATCGAAGACACTACCTATGGCTGAGGAAGTTTTTGAACTAGGAATTGCTGAGAGTCAGAAGAGTACACATCTGCAATTTTTTTTTCTTTTGCTGTTTCCTTGGGATCTGCTACTGGTGACTGTAAGAACCAGTGCTCTGGGCTGGGTACACCTTTGGCATGATTTAGTGGAATTAGTCTGTTATATGGGTAAACAATTCTGCAGTGTTACCTGAGCTTTCCCGTTGTTCACTTACTATATTGTCTTATATATATATATATATATATATATATATATATATATATATAAAACTTTGTGATCAATTCAGGTAGTTTTGTTTCTGATAAACAGAAAAGTTTGTATTCCTCAAAGCAAGCTTCTGACTGTGCTTCATATCATTAGTCTTTTCTGGATTTTTTAAAGACTGGAAAGACTACCTCGTTGCCCTTCAAGCTTCCTTAGAAATAAATATATAGTGTAACACAGCTTGGAAGATTTCAGCTTAAAAAGAAAAGCTACAAAATGTGGAGGCTGACTTGCCAGCTTATGGAAATGTTCTTATGTTAGTAACCTTTGTGCTTGCCTAAAATCTTACTGGTTTTGCTGTTGGGGTTTGGGGCACTCCAGTTCACTTGACTGTGCAGTACCCCGTGCTGTGCTCCAGGTCACTCACATTCACTGCTAGAAACTTTCCACTGAAAATATGTTAAATGAAACAAAACAAATAGGTGGCGATTGGTTGTGGTGCTTGGGATAGTGTAAGAGACAAAGCTGGAGAAACACTTCAAAAAAAAACATCCCAAAGAGTAGATTTTAATTGATGTTTTACACAACTAGTGCTCCAGTGCGCTGTTCTTACAGAGTCACGGCTCTGACTTAAATTAGCCATTGAAGAACTTGATTGGCCTTCACCAGTGTTGTTGACAAACATTTTAATTAGCTTACTGTGTTTCTAAAGACAGCACAAGTTCTTTTATTATGCTTCTTCGTCTTTTAAGGTTTATTTTACATTTTTGTGTGTACTTCTAAACAATTTACATTGCCAAGTTCGGGTATCTGAATTATTAGGCTGTGCACGTGAGGATCTATGTATTTTATAATGTTAAGGGACTGATGACATTTCAGAAATACTAGTGTTTGTCCAAGTCACCAGTAAGGAGTGCTTCAGGTGTCACTTTAAAAGCAAATACTCTCTCTTCAGAAGGTTTGTTTCTACAGTAAATATTACAATAGCAAATGTATTTATGCTCCTCTTCTTGGAAAAAAAAAAACCCAGCCCTTTGGGGTTTTGTTGTTTTGGGGTTTTTTTGAACAAAAATACTCAGAGGTAGTTTAGCAGAGCTGCTGATGAACTTGATGTACAGTATGTTTGACTTTGCAAACTTAATGTTAAGCTCTGTTCAAACTTAAATGGAGCTGAGAGGCCATTTGTTAAATTACTGAATTGGAAAGGTTAAAGATTTCAATTAAGGCAGAGGGGATGGAAGATCAGAGTTTGTGTTCGAAGAAACTCACAAAAATTGCAGGTTTAGCGTTGGTAACTTCTAATAGTCAAGTCAGCCTGCACTGTCAGTGTCCTGCTGGTCTCCAGCACTCACTTTTGGGAAGTTTCAGTTGGTTTGGGAGTTCTGGAGCTCTGGTGACACAGGTTTACAAGCAAAGTCTCGCTCCCTGGAGGTTTCACTGGTTGGAATGAAGACTTCCCTCTTGCTCAAACCCAGGAACACTTCAATGAAGAGTAGTCACAGTGATACCTAAGACTTAATGTTCTTGAAGTGCGTAGTTGTTTTAAACCTGTTCTTTGTGTCGGCTCTTACATGTTTTGCATGAGAGTTTAACCAAGCCCACAGCAATTTTTTAAGACTATATGGTTATAAATTTCTAAGATGATGATGAATGGGTTCCTTGTAACTAGCTTTATCTGTTGCATGTGAATAAATTGCATGAGTAAGGAAAATAGCAATAAAAGGGTTATTGAGTCTAGTAAAACTGAAATTTAATAGCTGGAGATTTTTTTTCGTAAAGAAAGCAAAGATTGAACCTTGCTGCCATCCAATTCTGAAGGAATTTTTGCATTTTTAGTGTCTTGAAGGTATTAAAGTCAGACAACAAGCTACATTTCTCTGTCTTGTAACTGACCTCATGAGTGTAACGCAAGACCTTATATAAACTTAAATTGAAAGCTCATGAAATAATGTAAATGTAAGGGCAAAAGACATGAGTAGTTTTTTTTAAAGTACAAAATATTACATTTTTTTAAGGGAAACAAAATAAGTTAGGTGGAATATATTTTGTTTGTCTCTTTTGTTTTCAAGGTTTGGCTTGAGCAACAAGTTTGATACAGAATTTCCTTCTGTTCTGACAGGGAAGGTAAGTGTGAGATTAAACTGTTCTTTTAACTGGAAAGATGCAGTGGATCCTGTGGGTTCTGTGTTACACCTCCCTGTGCCTGAATCCCCAGGGCAGACTGTTGAATTAACTGCCCTGTGTGAAGGAGCTGGTTGATGGCCAGTCCCTACAGTGTACTCTGAAACAAGAAAACTTGATTTGGGTGGTTGCTGTCACTAGTGACACACTAAACACAGGAAAGCTCAGCGTGGCATCATTCTAGTTTTGTGTAGACGATCTACATGAGAGCAGGACTCACTTAACCCTCCTTTATAGAAGCCTGGAGCTTGTGCTGTCTCCTGTGTGAATTAAATTATTTCAAATACCGGACCTCTGTTTTTAATATGTCTGTCAAGCCTTGAGTTTCTCTGGAAGTTCCATCTGAAGCTTTGAGGAACAAAACATATTTTCAGAAAGATGATAATTGTTTAGTGCTGAAAATTGGCAGTGACAAGTCTCTTGCTTTCCTTGGAGTCCTGTCATGTTACTAAATGCAGATTTAATAAATATATGTAGTTATTAAATAATGAAATCCTGTAACAATATTCTTAGTTATGGCTTTAAGTTATTGTCATAATTGTATTTTTTTTTTTAGACTTTTAATTCAAGAATTAATTTTGTTGTTTTTTTTTTCTTTGAGCTGTTTCACTCTGGTGTTTTTCTTTTGCTTCATTTGATATTCCTCTTACATCTTTTCCAGAATTTGGGAGGAAAAAAATTATTTGGCTCTTCCTGCTTTCTCTAATGTCACACATAGAGCTACCCTGCCTCTGCAGCCTCTTGCAGAAGCTGTTGAGTCACATTGACAATGCACTGAAATGCAGCTGGATGGTGTCTCCTGGTTCTACCAAATCCAACTGGGGGTTTTTCTCCTTCGTTTTCACCCCAGAATATAATGAATAAAATAGTTGTGTTGAATTTATCCAGCTTTTATGACAGCAGTCCAATTGCAGAGCAGGTTGCTGTTTGGAGTTTCTGGTTGTTAAAAGACAGACTGGGAACTCTGGTCTTGCTTCGGAATCTCACGGAGCTCAAAAGGAAGAGTCTGAACTGATGGCAGAGTGTGTGATGTGAGGGCTGGTGACAACACCCTTTGCATTGCACAGCCTTTATGTCTAAGGTTTATTCTTTTCTGCAAAGCTCTTTCCAATCACTGAAAAGCCACAGAATACTTTTTGGAAATAACAGTTCTTACGTTCTCTTAGTCAAGTTGCAGTTTGTTATAAATAAGCTTAGAGAAAATACCTAGCAGGGAATGTTAAATATTAATTTGATTATATAATTTCATCTCTTTCTGTCTCTCTAAAATATGTTTGTGTGTATTAGAAAAACAAAACAAACCCAACTTCCCAAACCTACGCTTTTTAATACGAGCATCAATGCCTGTCGCACTTGTCACTTCATTGTCCTCCCCTTGTAAACAGACAGTGAACAAAAGTTGAATTTAAAGTTCCGTTGACTGCTTGGGCTTAATTTAGCAAAAGGAGGAAAGAGGAAGTTCTTCTACTTGGCATTTACTCTCCTTGTTCTATAGATCTAATTAGCAACAACATAAATCATGAGCAGGGATGTGCTGCACACAGATACACTGCTTGTGGTGAGAGCCTCGCTGTCCTGCTGTCTTTTCCTTGGGTGTGCATTTCAGGGGCTTTCTGAGTAAGAAGATCTTGAAAATGAATTAGTTTCCTTTTGTGAGGGGAAAACACCAATCAAATGAGATAGAGAACACATTTTTCTAACTGCCTGCCACTTGCTGCCATGGGAAGAGACTAAAAACCACAGTTGTGGCTTTTTTGGTTTTTAATACTTTCACAACTTGCAAGAAATAAACAATCTGCTTCTTCCTCTGGTTGGGGCAGTCAATCACCGTTATCCCTTTTGAAAATGAAAACTCAGGGTTTTTTTAGGAAGAATGTTTTCTTCAAGTACTCTGAATAAATAATTCACAATAATAAGCATTCCAGTCAATTGATACACCACTTAAAGATCTTTTACTGTTTGTAAAATACACGTTTTTACTTTTTATGGAATCACAATTTATGAATAGTGTGGTGACTGTTTGTATTAACAATTTGTGATTAAAATGTTTACTATGAACTTGCATTAGTCCACAGCTGGCATAAGGCAATGCCATACTTTATTCAGAATGTCTGTGTTGCATTAAGTTTAATGGCTTTGTTGTCCACTGTGAATTGTTATTAATACCACATCCCAGCTGCTAATGGAGTATAGAAGATGAAACCATTCAGTGGGCTTGATAGATTTCTCTGTGGTGGTGTTTTTCATTTTAATAAATACAGATGAAGATCTACGTTTTTAAACACAGGATGAAAATTTAGCCAGTGCACAATAAAAATCCTAAATAGATAAAACTATTTGGCTACACCTTTCTCCCAGAAGCACTAACTTTTTGGATTTATGCCACTCTGTAGCCTTAGGAATTTACTGAAGCTTCCTGACCCTTGCTTTGCTCAGCTACATCATGATGATTCTGCTAATTTTCTTCTTTAAAAATATGAAATCCTCTTCCTTCTTCACTCATCTCCCCTATCTCCTCGTCGCCCAGTTTTTACAGAGTCTGGATATTTACCATAAATTAGCCTAGAGCCAAGATACATATAATTACATCTTAAATATTTAATTGAGATGTTTGTTGCTTCTTCTTGGGGGAGGTAACTGTGTGTAATTAAGGGTAAAAGATAGACAATAAAAAAATGAAGGAAGGGACAATATCAGGTGGGTCAGACGTTGGCCTGGCTAATTCAGCTGGATTAACTTCATATTTATCTTGTGGGATGAGATGTAACTTCAGCCAGTTTATACGTACTGATCTGGGCTTTCAAACAGTGCATTCTTTTCAATGGAATATTGTAAGAAAAGAATTGACTACACTTAATATAGAGGTGATATTTAACTTTTAAAAATGTGATTGGACTTTGGTCTAAATTTAAGTTCTGGCTAAATTTAAATTCTCTGTGCTAGAGTTCTATAGGATTATTAATTCTTTTAAAACAAGCATTTAAAGGCTTTTAACAAGATAGCCTTCATGATATATGGCACAGGTGACAAGAAAATGATGGAGGCAGTGAACCTTAAGGAAGAAACTGGAGTTTCCTGCCCCGATCTTAAAACAATAAGTGTCCCATAGAGAGGTGACTGTGCAGGGCAGGGAGACGTAAGCCATAAACCGCGCTCTGGGTATTGTGATTCCCCCACAACATGTGATTGATAGGGTTTGTGATCATCCTGATTGAAGGAGAGAGATCAGGCCTGCTGGGCTTTACTTGCTCTCTTCCTGTGTTTGTAGATTCTCTTGCATCCTGTTGTAAAATATTATGATGCCCCCTCCTTTCCTTTTATGTTCTTTTTTTTTTTCTTCCCCTCCCTTAAAGACCTGAAAGGAGCCAGTGCCTCTTTACAAGGTGTACTGCACGGCCAGGAGCTATGTACTTAGCTCATTCTTTTCAAGACCCAGACACAAACTCTCCGAGAGACTTTCCAAAATTACTCAAACTTGTCTTTTTTAGGGAGATTTCTTTGTACAGGAGGTGCTGTCAATTCTCTCTTTGTTGGAAATACCTTTGTCATTTCATCTGAACCTTTCAATATCTGTACCTGCAAGAAAGGCAAGATTTAAAATCAACAAGATTCTTTGGTGACTGTTTCATTTGGATACCGTTGTGTTACTCAATCAGCATAGTTATTTTACTTATAGATATTTCATTCTTTGTGTAAGAGCACTTCACTGTTACTGAGCTGTAAACCGAGAGCAACAAAATTGTGTTTTGCTTCTGTTTATCACAAAATGAGACTTGTCTTGGTCACCGCTTCTTTTAGTTTCAAATTACAATGTCATTGACTGACAGAAATATTTATTGTGATCACATTTCCTAAAGGGAGAAATATATCCAATAACTTGGGTTAGCCAAAACCATCTTAAGTAATTTTGTCTTCCTCAACAAGAGATTCTGTTCTAAGAACAGGGTTCTTATTCTAAGCGATTCTTCTTTACATGAAGGTATTTGGTGTGTTAGCAGGTAATAGTGGTGCTTTCATAATACTCTATTCAGATAAACATCATACCAAAATTCCTGAAATAGACATTTTCTCTACTTCTTGGCAGCACCTGAAGTTGGTTTCTGGTGTAGCCGTTTGCAGCGCTGTGCTCTACAGGAAGGACAGAACCTTGATGTTGTTCTTACAAAGTAGCATCAAACCGTTAACCTGATGTGACCAGCAACTCCCTTACTTTTAAGGGAGAAATGGGTAATCTCACCATCCCAGGATTGAGGTTTTTTTTTTTCCATTATGTCCCAATTCCTTCTGCCAGCTGGGATCAAGGAATCTGGTTGACTTCTTTCCGTGTTGGATGTTCGTGCGATTGCATTGTCTTTGGTGGGTTTGTACAGCTGTAGTTTGAGGCTGGGCTGGGATGTTGTCAAGGTCCAGTAAACTTTATGTCTAATGGTAAAGGAAACATTATCTTTTCTTAGTGGGATTCATTGCAAAAGTACTAATGGGGTCAAGAAAAAAACCTACTTATTTCTGTCTTTCAAATAAACGGCTAGAATGATACATGTACAAATTTGAAAAGACTTAGCAGAGAAAGTGCCATTTGTACATATTGAAATGTTAGGGATGTGTAAACTTCCTTAAGAGTTGGAGTGCTAATTTGTTAATGTACCAAATCTCAATTTACTTGGAAGCCTGTCTGACTGCAGAAGCTGTACCAACTCATTACTACAAAACCTTCTCCCACATTGAAGGTGAAATGGTCTTACTCATGCACATCTGGTATTTGTTGTATCCAAAATACAAGCCAGCACTGGCAAAGAGATCTGTAAACCCTCCTGTGTCAGATATGTGCAAGTACAGACTAGTCTTCCACACTACAAGGGATTTTTTTTTCTTCTGTTCTTTGAAAATGTCCCAATATGTGGGATTTCTGTTTCTTTTTTTCATTGTCTTTCTTTCTTTCATTTTTTTTTTAACTAAGGTTTTATTGTAAAGTCTATCAAAAGATTTTTTTTTTTCTTTCTCCATTTTTATATGTAAAAAGAATTACAAGACAATCTATTTAATATTGGGGAAGCCTGTGTAATTGCAAAAAAAAAATAAAAATACTTTCTGTGTACCTATTAATTCCAGCTATAAAATAATGACAATGTTAAATTAAGCTCTTATTACTAACTGTAGACCTGGCTTGTGTACAAGCCCCAGTGACCTCTGACTCTGTACCACATGGGGATCTGAATGGCCAGGAAACAGATGTTGTATTTATTTATACTCCCTTTCCTGCCATGTTTTAAGGAATTTAGCTCTTGTGAATAGGCGGAGGCAGCAGAATCGGGTCCTCTCCATTTCCTGTCCCGTAGTTTTGCTCCTTTGGTGAAAGGAGTCTTTGTCATTAAATTAATGCTTTTGTTGTCGTCCTTGTTTGCGGAATCAAATGAGGAGAGTTGGGTTTGCCTGGTTGGAAGGACTGTGTCATAGTTGCACAGCTTTGTGTACAGACCAGTTCTAGGGAGCTTTTTTCTTCAATATGGCAAGTAGTTAGAAAGATTTTTTTTTTTTAATTTTTTTTGAGGAGTTGTGCCTGATGGTCAAGTCTATTGAAGCTGTATCTTCGTGTGTTCAGGTGCTGGGCTGTGTGACAGTTATGAGTGTCATCTTGGAGGCAGTACCACAAATCCCTACTTGACTTTTCAGATATAAGTTATTAAGATTCTGTAGAGAGATGAGGGACTTGGGGTATGTAAACAGATAAGTGCTCTCAGGCTTTTGTAAGAAACATGAAGAAATAGGAGTTTATTTCTGATGGAAAAAGTGGTTTTCTACTGTGACTCTGTAGTGGCAATATATAGAAATTATTATTTTGTGTAAGCTTTGCGGAATATTCCTTCATTTAAATAAGTTCTTTTTGAAGAGCAAGGCTTTATTCATAACCCTGTAGAAGGTGCATGTCTTTGCCTTGAATATAATCCCGAGGATGTCTCTCCAGGCTCCCTGGTTTAGGAAGGTGCCACAAGTGCAGTTGTGGCCTCACGTCGATAGGGACCACTTCAGGAATTCATTTGTGGGCAGAGATCCACCTTCACCCAGGCACAATGTAGACTTGCATTGGTAGGAGATGAATTTGGACAATATTATCCTTTTTTTCTGTGTTTTTACTACAAAGCTGCCCCACGTTCTATTGGGAACCAGATTATATGTCATTCTTCCTTTTTTTTTGGTCAGCAGAGCCAGTGTGTAGGTTGCACAGATATGTCCCACGTCTGGTTTTGTTTAGGGCCAGTATGTTATCAGGACAATCGATTTATTGATTTATTATAAGGATGAGGCTGTTCACCTAAGCAATGTTTAACTTTTTCTTGCAAGTTTTTACAAAGTTAATGCAAGTTTTAATGAATTTGTTGCAGTAAAGTGACTTTCCATGCTCCGTGTTTTAGAAGATGGGGGGGTCATACTGTATAATGCTATTATGTTTCCTTTACATTTCAACCTCTAGAGGCAATTATTGAGAAACTCCACCTGTACTGCCTTTCCACTGAAATTGAGCTCTTCTGTTGCAGGTTGCCCCAGAAGAATTCAAGACCAGCATCAGCCGGGTGAACGCCTGTTTAAGAAAGAACCTCCCTGTCAATGTCAAGTGGCTGCTCTGTGGCTGCCTGTGCTGCTGCTGCACCCTGGGCTGCAGCCTCTGGCCCGTCGTCTGTCTTAACAAAAGAGTAAGTGCATCTTTCATTCTTCTTATTCCATTTATTTTGCAATTACTGATAACGTTAAATAACATTTAATGGTGTCAGCCCAATTTCAAAACCCTTTTTTGGGCTCACTTGCATTCAAAAGATTATTCCGTTTTCCGTTCCTCAGAAAATAGAAAACAATAGGTTTGTTAACAAAATAAATGATACCAAATTACTAATTGAATTAACAGTTTTAGGAGTAGCTAATCCCATCTCAGGTCGAAGAACAGGATGGAGTATAGGATAACCTCAATTTCCAGGATTTCCAAAGGTCTAAGAATTGAATTAAATGATTGCAGAGCTGGACACTGACCTTCAAACTGCCTGAACTGGAGTGAAAATTGCTTTTCCTCTTCACACATA